TCTGGCCTCTGAATGGGAGGCTTCAGGGACAGAAGAGAGGTCGGAGAAGATGACAGCTCCTGCCTGGAGTCGTGGTGAACTGAAAAGCCTAAAAAAGTTGTGTGATTTACTAAAAGATGACATGATGACCAGAAGAACTGGGATATCCCTTAAACACACCAGATCCAACCCAAACCAGTTCCTTCCTGTGCCATTTGCAAAGCAACAGGATGTGGAGGAATCTGCCAAGGGTCCACCCGTGAAAGATCAGAGGTCAGAAGGTTATCCTGTGCCTGTGTGACTTTGTTTCTCCAGTGTGAGCTTTGACATATGCTTTTAGTGTGTTATGAATGTATTCAGGGCTTTAATGCCACTGACCTGCTGTTGCTAGCAAAAACAGAATGATTAAAACTGACCTGATCTTTTTTGCATGTAAGCAGGTGTGAAAAGAACATTTAAGTGGTGAACTTACCTGTTAAACCTTCTTTCCAACTCTAATCTTGTGGGCAGGATAAATGGGAATTTTTTTTATTTCTTCCTAGTTCACCATAGGAACCTTTGGGTAAAGGAGTTGAACTTCTTTCTGACCTATTTGATTTTAGCTAATTCCAAGTCTGAAGAAGATGAATACCATTTATAAAAGTCATAATATAATTTAATTTTTCACATTTGCACACATTCATTTTCTTCTAGAGTAGGTTTTCTGTTCCATGCCCTGACTTTACTTAGAGTCAGGCATGAACTGATGACGTGTAGGGAAATCGTAACCCTGGGGTCATGTTTTGGTTTAAGGTCTTAGATGTTCAAGCCTCTCCTGCATTTAATAAAAGTGATGTATTTTTGTGGGGAATGTGGTCAGCCTGATCAAGGTGAGTGAGGAGTGCTTTGCATAATATGAGCTCCCCATACAATAGAAAGTGATGGGGTCCTGCTTCTCAAAGGACCTTGGTGGCTATCCAGGTGCGGTGGCTCAAAGTGCTATAATCCCAGCACTTTGGAAAGCCGAGGCAGGAGGACTGCATGAGCCTAGGGGTCTGAAATCAGCTTGGGCAACATAGTGACACCTCATCTCTATGAAAAATAAACAAAATTAGCCGGGCATGATGGTGCACCCTTGTGATCCCAACTACTCAGAAGGCTGAGGCGGAAGGATCACTTAAGCCCAGGAGGTCGAGGTTGTGGTAAGCCATGACCTTGCCTCTGCATCCAGCTTGGGTGGCCAAGTGAGACCTCAACTCAAAAAATAAAACACAAAAAGGATCTTGATGGCAGTGGGACAGAGGGCAGAGTGGAGAGTTAGGAGAATGGTAAGTAATCTCACATTTTACAATCAAGAGCCTGGCCCTCTGCATCACCTGGATTTAATCTATGTTTTACATTCCTCTGAATAATAACCCGTAGTAGGGCAGGGCCTCGTTAGCATACGGTGTTCAGGGAGCAGGGGTGACAGTCATGCTTCACTCTGCAACCACAGAGTGCTTCGTGGTCTTTGCAAAGAGCTCCTCCTCCACCTCGCTCACTTCACAGGACAGTTGACTCAGTGTTAGCTGCATTTCACAAATAAGAAGCCTGACGTAGAGAGCAGTGAAGTGAGTGGATCCCGCATGATTCCTGGGCTGGTTAGGCTGGTGATGACGGGGGACAGAGTGGGCAACCTGGGTCTCCACTCTCAGTCGCTGTCCAGTGGCCCACAGATCCACGGCCAACCACCCTGCCAGGAAGGAAAGGAGGCGGGCCTGTAAACTGCCTACTGGATACATCCTGAGTGCTTTCCTGCTCCCTATTCCCCACACAACCTTGGAAGAGTAAGGTTCACCTGCATTTTGCAGTTAGGAATTGGGAGCCCAAGAGCTGGTAATTACAGAGTCAAGAGCCACGCCCAGCTCTGGGTGAAAAACCACCGTCCAGCTCCAGGGACATGCCAGCACAAATTCCTAAAGGAGACAGTGAAGGCCTGCCCGATCCCCCGTCACTTCTATCTGTCGCTCTATCTGTGACTCAGAAAGAGTCCTCTTTATTTTCAAAAGGGGGTGAATGGTTACTCTGAGCACTCCAGAGGTATAGGTAGATTAACTGTGTGTTGTCATTGTGTGGTTGAGCCAGCACACACCTTGGGAATTCATATTTCCTGTCAACAAATGTTTACTGAGTAATTACTATGCGTAAAACACTGTACCAGGGGCTGGGGGATGATCTTGGATGAGCAGTAAAACCATTTGCCTTCTCGCTACAGATTAAGCAAGTGCTAGTTCACAGTGTAGAAATATATAGCCAGTAAATAGTAGACTCTGAAATGCTTTATTAGTGATGAAAGTTACATAAATGGGCAATCAGTGGTGCCTAGAATATCCCCTTTATCTTTTTAAATACCCCTACCTGCGTTCAAAATGAAACATCATTAATTGACTTTTTTTTGGTGGGATGCTTATATCAACTGTGACTTGTGGGGCCACTTTTGAATCCTGTAGCCTATTGACTCACCTATTTGACATTAAAAAGATCTCTCTATTAGTGATTTTTTTTTAATAGTAAATTACCTTTACTTTTTGGTCTCTGTAGGATGACTGGGAAAGTCACTGGAAGCCTCAGCTCTCATGATCTTCCAGCAAAGGCAATTCTGCTCAAATTGGTGCCCTTTTAAAGCTCATAAATTAACCTGAGCGGAAATTCCTTAAGCCCACAAGTGCATAGGAAAAGGATAAATGAAGATTAGTACCAGAGACTGTGCTATTCTTTTTTTTTTTTCAATTTCCAGAGCATCCAATAAGTATTCAGTAAATACTTATGGAGGACCTTGTCTAGTCCCTGTTCAGGGAACCCAAACAGAAAAATCCCTGCCCCCGTGGAACTTAAATTTTACTGTAAATCTACATTTGTTGACAGAGATGTGTATAAAATGCTGTCCATTACTTTGTGTAGAAACAATTTAAATTCAAATGTGTCCAACATACAACAACATAGTGGAACCTCACAAACACAATATTGAGCTAAAGAAGCCAAACTTGAGAACATACTCTATGAGCCTGTTTATTTTGTGCAAAATGTCCAACACTAACCTGTAGGCATGTTCAGTTTGCGAACATTCAGTATGATCACTTTCTGTATGCATGTTGCACTTCTTTTTTTTTTTTTTTTTGAGTTGGAGTCTCACTCTGTCGCCCAGACTGGAGTGCAGTGGTCGCTTCCGGCCACTGCAGCCTCACCTGCTGGGCTCCGGCGATCCTTCTGCCTCCTCCTTCCGAGTAGCCGGAATTACAGGCATACGCTACCACGCCCGGCCGAGTTTTTGATTTATTGTAGAGATGAGGTCTCGCTGCCCAGGCGGGTCTCGAACCCGCAGGCTCAGGCAATCCACTCACCTCAGCCTCCCAAAGGCGCGGGATTACAGGCTGAGACACCGAGCCCGGCTCATGTTGCACTTCAATAAAATGTTAATGGAATATTCAAATAGAGACACAAAAATGGCAACTATTAATAGATTCTCAATTAACTGTCCTTTAAAAATGACTTATCTGCTCTCTTCCATAGATAGTTTGGAAAATATTGTATTAGAGTAAATCTATTCCAGTAGGCCTACTTATTGACTGGGAAGCACTTATCTAGGCTTCAGAATTAATATTGTCCTCGTGCTCTCTCTTGATATGAAAGAATCTACTTGTCATCTGCTTCAATGCAGTGGTGATTTGGGAAAGTTGAGACTATTAGGCAAAACATAAGCACTTTCTGGAACTATCCCTTGGAGAAACAGAAAATATGCCTTATTGCCTGAAGAAAAACATTCACAAACCCTTTCCTTGACTTGCTTTTGGACATTTCAGCAGAGGTTTTGGGTTGTGCCCTGATATGGTTGCCTTCACTGTGAAGTAAATAATGATCAATGAAGGAAGGCTATTCTGGGCTGATAAAGGCCTAAAAGAGACGGGTGTATACATGTGTACACCCCTGCATTCTGGAGTGTATTCTTTAACATTGTGGGAAGAGATCTTTAGAAATTACTCTTTTTCCCATAAACCGTTATGAAACTGAGCATGAGACCAGGTGATTTTTGCTGACAAACCCAAACTGTAATTTATTGGAAACTGGAAGCAGAACAGATTTTCTTTACTGAAATAATTATCTGTCCACCATCCGAATGCAGAAAGGAGCAGTGAGCAACCTCTCAGGGTATAGGTAAGAACTGTCCCTTTACATTCCCCTGAAAAGACAGTCATTTGTGGGTGCTATCTTTTTACAAATGTGCTTAAAATATGCCCTTGTCATGTTCTATTTTCTTTTTTTTTAAATCATTTTCTTTGCTTTGTCAGACACATTAAGACTTAAAGTGGCTATCAAAGAAGAAACAGGTTTATAGATCTAAATAATCAAAAGAACTTAAAAGATGGCATGGGGGGGGACTCTGGTTTTTCAAGCTTGAACTATCATCCAAGTCTGGTTTTGATTAAGCCTACCAGTTTTCTAGGAATTGTGGTTTTTGTCAAATGCACGTGAAGTCAAATGCATCGGTTAGAATTCTTGGTTTGCTTTCAGAAAACTGCAGAAACACTTTTTGATGTCATTTGTGCCATTGCATTAGCACCTCAGGGACAGGCGCAGTTAGGGTGTCCTTATAGGTTGGGTGCCCATGACAGCCCATTACTGCCAAACACAGCTGAACCGTTTGTGAATGACCGCAATACACATTTGTTTCCTAAGCTGCCTTCTCTAAACCCTGTGCGTTGCACCTAGGCCTTTCTGTGTTTACACTGAACAGTTCTTTCTTTGTGGGTAGCATGGGGATTGTTTTTATTTCTCCTCTGGGTTTTAAGACACATTTTACACTCTTTAGAAACATCAAGACTTTTCTTTGATTTTTCCAGCAGCTAATGAATATTGCTAATTGTCTAACAACCCTTCTCTTTCAGTTTGATCAGCAGAAAAGGTTTGGCACCCACGTATTTCATCCGCAGTTTTTTATTTCCAGTTTGGTGACAGCCTTAACTTTCTGTCTTTCTTGTCCTCTAATTGTGTATTTGGTCTTATAGATACGGTCCGAGAACTCCTGTGTCTGATGACGCAGAGTAAGTTGTCTTGTATCCATAGGATTACATTAATTACTAGCCTAAACTGCATGCTCTCAGCATTACTTACCACTAATTGGAATGCAACCGGTGCAACAGTGAACTGAATAGTTAACTGACTTGTGCAGCAAAGCACTTGAAGTTGGAATGCAGAGCATATGTTCCGTGCAGGAGAGATGAATGAAAAAGCAACTTAAGCATGAGTCTAACGTGCAGCTGCTGCTTAAAACTTAACATTTGCTTTTCATAGACTGGGCATGTCCAAGTTGTTGCTCTTGCTATGGTTTGAACGTGGGTACGCCTTCTGCACCATGGAATTGTTATGAGGGTATTCTGAGTTTTGCATTTAATTCTTGATATGTTGGGGCTTGGAGTGAACAGTGAAGTAGTCATTCCTGTAGGCACATATTTTGTGAAACTAAGAAAATAAATCCTAAACCACTAATTATAGATTCAGAAGCCCAAGTTCCTCTCAGGCTGGAGTCATATAAACTGTGGGAATCTCGAGACCAAAACATTGAGGTTTTGCTCAAGTTCTGTGGCATAACAGGGGGTCAAGGGTGTAAGACATGACTTGGGCTTTCCATCTTGGCTACTCGGTTTTTGCTTCTCCCAGAAATTCATTCCCCATCATGCACTTTACATCTGTATTTGGGGAGAATCCATACCCTCCCATTGGTGACCACATTAAATGGGTTCAAAAACGGGTTCAAAAACGCTAGACACAGTGGCTCATGCCTGTAATCCCAGCACTTTGGGAGGTGGAGGCAAGAAGACTGCCTGAGTCCAGGAGTTCGAGAGCAGCCTGGACAGCATGGCGAGACCTCGTCTCTACAATAAATCAAAAAATTAGCCAGGTGTGTTGGCACATGCCTGTAGTTCCAGCTACTTGGAAAGCTGAGGTGGAAGGATCACCTGAGTCCAGCAGGTTGAAGTTGCAGTGGCTGTGACTGAGTGACTGTGACAGAGTGGGACTCTATAAAAAACAAACAAACAAACAAAAAGCAGGTTTTCCATCTGCAGATCCTTCTAAAACTGATATACAAGGCGAAAGTTTTCTTTGCAGAAATCTGGGCCCTTCGAAGAGTCCTTATTTCCTGAGTCACAGTTTCAAGTCACAGAGCAAGAAATTTAAATAAGGGTGTAGAACACACGCCCACTGATGACAATGAGATGAGGCAAAAAAAAAAAAATCAGTGTTTTCAACTTGTGCTTTTCCAATGCTTGTGTTCAAGATGTCCACTTAGTGTGGACGCTAAGCCCTATGCAGTCAGACTTCAGGGTCAAGTTTTCCATATGCGATCTATGACTAGTTAGTGGTCCGACATACGGAACACTCATGTCTCAAAACCAATTTCAGCCTGAGCTTGACTGACTGTGCAGAGTTCAGTAGTCTGTAAAATTGAACCCTGGTTATTACTTTTAAAATCCGCAATAGCAATATTTAACTTTCACTGAAAGGAGGATTTTATAAGATTGATAGGCAAAACATTACTTTGATTTGGAGAGCAAAAACATTTTGCTAGAATGGATTTATTCTTCCTTAATGCAAAGCCGCCATGCAATTTGCCTGAAATAGATCTATGGGAAACCCTAAAAGGTGAAAGAAAACTAAATGAAAGAGAGCATTTGAATTTTTCCTGTGCCTGAACACAAAACCTCACCCACAGGAAAAGTTAATGATTTTTTAAAAAGGAACAGGAATAGGGCTCCCTTCTCTCCTCTAAGTTTACAAAAAGCAGCCCTGTGGACCAAGAAAAGTAAAAGGAGCTTCTTTTCTAGAGCTTTTATCTGGGAATATCCAAGATGCCGAATTTCCTGCCTGGAACAGATACAAGAAACATGAAACCATGTTATTAACATGAAAAGTTGATATCGGGAGTTCATTTTTTATTAGAAATTTATACTATTTTTAGTTTATTCCCTTAATATCTCCCTTTTCCCAAAAATTTTGAAGGCAATTATTGGCACAGGCTGCATTTGCTAATAATTGACACATTCTTAAACTAGAGTTCAATCAAAAAAGTGTGCCCTTAGCCGGGCTCGGTGGCTCAGCCTGTAATCCCGTGCCTTGGGAGGCTGAGGTGAGTGGATTGCCTGAGCCCGCGGGTTCGAGACCCGCCTGGGCAGCGAGACCTCATCTCTACAATAAATCAAAAAATCAGCCGGGCGTGGTAGCACATGCCTGTAATTCTGGCTACTCGGAAGGCTGAGGCGGAAGGATCACTGGAGCCCAGCAGGTCAAGGCTGCGGTGGCCGGGAGCGGCCACTGCACTCCAGTCTGGGCGACAGAGTGAGACTCCAACTCAAAAAAAAAAAAAAAAGTGTGCCCTTTAAGGAGGATGTAGGTCAGGGCAGACCTACCGCACAGGCACGCAGAGATGTTTCCACCTCCCAGCTGGTCAGGAATGTTACTGTAGATTTAATTTCACCTTCTTGCCCCATTCCCTCATCTGCACACTCTCTGTCTCCCAACACACTCCCCACCCAAGGAGTCTGTACCTTGTGAGAGACACAGGCCATTTTATTCTGAATCCCCTCGCCTTAGCCTTAGCCCAGAAACAATTGCCAGACTCCCCTTAGGGAAATTTGATTCCAGCCCTCAAAAATGCCAGCCAAGGGAGACTCCTGGGTTCTGCAGCCAGGGCCTTCATCCCAACAGCCCAAGGGCACAGGCAGAAGGGGTTAGTCCAAGCACATGAATATTCTGGAAGCCAGGCTTTGCGAGGATCCCCTACCCACTCCCATCCCCAGGCACACACTTCTTCATTTGGGAGGCCAAGTCCAACCTCTGAACTAGGGGATGTTTTCTAATGGTGACTCGGTCACTTTTCTATTTAGTATGATCAGTTCTCAACTTTCTCAGTTCCTTTGTTTTTTTTGAAATGGCCTAAAGCTATCACTCACAATTTCTTTTGGCCAGTTTGCTGATATTCATTTTCTTTCTTTCTTTCTTTTTCTTTCTTTCTTTCTTTCTTTCTTTCTTTCTTTCTTTCTTTCTTTCTTTCTTTCTTTCTTTCTTTCTTTCTTCATTTTCTTTCTCTCTCTCTCTTTTTCCTCTCTTTCTTTCGACAAGGTATCACTCTATCACTCAGGCTGCTGTACAGTGGCCTATCCCAGCTCACCACAGCATCAACTTGCTGACCTCAGGTTATCCTTACTTCTTAACTTCCTGAGTAGCTGGGACTTCAGGCATGTGTCACCACGCCTGGCTAAATTTTTTGTATTTTTTTAGAGACAAGGTTTCGCTGTGTTGCCCAGGCTGATCTCGAAATCCTGGGCTTTAGCAATTCTCCCGCCTCAGCCTCCCAAAGTCAGGCAGAGTCACCACACAGGCAAAGTCACCGCACCCGGCCCTAGTTTGCTGATATCCCTCTTAAAAATAAAAAAAAAATTTAAAAGTACAGGTTGAATATCTCTTAGACTAAATGCTTGGGATAAGTGTTTTGGCTTTTGATCTTTTTCAGATTTGGGAATATCTGCATGCATATCATGAGATCTTGTGGGGTTGAGACCCAAGTCTAAACACAAAGCTCATTTTAAATAATTGTGTGCACGAAACAGAGTTCTGAGTGCGTTTTGAGAGTGTGCGTCTGAGGTCAGGTATGGGATTCTCCATTATGGCATCATGACGCTCAGAAAGTTTTGGATTTGGAGCATTTCGGACTTCAGACTCTCAGATTAAGGGTGCTCAACCTGTACTTCCTGATATATGAAAGGGCAAACAAGAATTTGTCTTTTTATTTTGTAGCTTTGGGTACCTTTGGGCTGAATAGTTAGAGTTTTCCGGTGGGAGCAAAGCTAAGGACCTAGACCCAAAGAAACGACTTCTGAAGGCCTGCTCCCATTTTTCTCCATGTCCATCAAGTGAGATGACTAAATCCCAAATCCTGGAGAAATCTGCCATTTTCTTCCTGGGATCCCAGAAGAAGACCTGACTCTGTGGTCACCTATTGTGGCCTAAACCAAAGTTCTACTAAAAATTAGAGCTCACACATGTAATCCCAGCACTTTGGAAGGCTGAGGCGTGAGGATTGCTTGAGGCTTGGAGTTCAAGACCAGCGATTTCAGGACCAGTCTGGGCTACATAGAGAGACCCTGTCTCTACAAAAATAAAATAAATAAATAACAAACATTCTAGATGGCAAAGTTGAAGGAAGGGACCTCCTTTCTCTCCCACAATGTGCCAACTTAGTGTGATTCTAAGAGGGTCGCAGCTCAGAGAGGTAATTTATGCCTTCTATGATCTTAACAAAGATATAAATTGCCTTAAAAGATGAACTGACTCAATTGGATAGGTTAAAGGTAACATTTTTTCTTTAACTGTGAGAGGAAGACTAGGATGAGTTTCAGTCTCTTTGCGGAAGGCCTACTTGAGTGAATTTTCATCCATGAAGTTTAATAAACATGGGTTCGATTTTTCTACCTAACCTTATGAATTTCAAAATCTTTCTTAAGCAACACTAACAAACAGTATAAAATGAATAAAAGACCACAGCCCTTCTCCCCTTCTGAGGACTGCAGTTTCTTTTTCTAGAAGGCATAACTGCCAAAATCCACCCTCTCCATTGAGTGTGTGGAGGCCGTGTGACACTGTGGCTTAACTTTTTCATGCTAATAGAAGTCTCAGGTCAAGATGGGTGTGGTGACTCAAGCCTGTAATCCCAGCACTTTGGGAGGCCGAGGTGAGGGGATTGCCTGAGCCCACAGGTTTGAGAATAGCCTGGGCAATTTGGTGAGTCCTCATCTCAACAATAAGTAAAAAAATTAGCCAGGTGTGGTAGCACATGCCTGTAGTTTCGGCTACTTGGAAGGCTGAGGTGGAAGGATCGCCTGAGTCTAGCAGGTCGATGCTGGGGTGGCCGTGAGTTGCCACTGCCCTCCAGCCTGGGTGATGGAGTGAGACTCCAACTTAAAAAAAAAAAAAAAAAGAAGTCTCATATCGAAGTCCTTCTCTGCAGTTGGGTGATTAGAATATGCTTGAGGAAGACAGTTATAATCAAACTGGAGACAAGTACAGTCCTTAGTTTCAGTCTCTTAGGTCAGACTCCAGCTGTCCAAGATGTGGAGAGAGAGGAGAGCCCCCCCCCCACATTCATGCAGATTTCTTTTGGATGGACTGAAATGAAAGTGGGTAGCCCCTGCCCAAAGGGACCATCTTCTTCCAGAGAGCTGCCTGCTAAGGAACCCATTGCACCCAACGATGCTACCGTTGTCTGTTACTTGGCCATGAGATAAAGATTGTGGACATCATTGATGATGTCTGGAAATAGTTCATGTCTAAGTGCATGGCTTTTATTTTTCTTTGTGTGAAGATGGCTTCAGAAATGGACTATCACCATCTTCTGTTCCTAGTGGTTAACAGTGAACCTTTAAGGGCCCTCCATGTCTTGATTTTTGGATTGTATAATATAAGCCACTTGGTCCCAGAGCTACTCATTTCTTTGAGAAAAAGGAAGGGGAATTTTGCTTTGGTTTCTATTTCTGTTTTCATCTTGCTGCCTCAGCTTTGGCTGCAACAAAGCTCTCTGTAAGCATCACAGGAAAGCCCTTTGGTCTTGTCCAACCTTTAATCATCTTTTATAGTATAGATTACTTACATGCACAGCCGAAAGACTTTTTCAAAATTGTTTCCCTTGTCCTTTTTCTTTTAAAACAGTAAATTCAGAGGCATCCTGGAAAAAAAAAGTAACACGATTGTGGGCGTATTAGAATAAAAAGCACATACTGATTAATGTATTCCTTATTCTTATTATAAAACACCTTATTTTCTTGATTGTAAGATGCCATCAACGGCACTATCACTTACAGACAGTTTTACAGGAAATAAAAAGAAATGAGCACATAAAAACATATGCATCATCAATTCATAGTTGTTGGATGCATCCAAAATTCAGAAAATAAAATGGGAAATGGGCGTTTTTTTGGAAATGCAGAAATTGCCTTCATTCTGTAGGAAACCATTTACGCCAACCCTGTACACAAAGAAGCAGTTACTGTAATAAGGTTCCCTTCACGGAACGCCGCCCTCCTTCCCCACAAATTCCCCCGGGTTACCCTTTTGGGTTATGTTCGTTTTATTGTTTAATAAAACATGAGAGGAGCCCAGAGCCTCCAATGCCTTTCACTAGCCCTTCTTTCGACATATTTTGGCACCTGCCAATAGAACGATGCTGACCCGATTCAGGGACGCCCCCGCAGACAAAGACAGTCCCGTTTGGCCTCTACCGCAAAAGGAGGCGGTGGGGTGCCCGCTGGCCCGCCGCCCGGGGAAGGAGCAGACGGCCGATCGCGCGGTCGTGTGCGGCGCGGGGCAGGGGCAGGTGCCCAAGCCCGGCAGCGCCCCCTGGCGGCGGGATGCCCGGCCGCGCGGGGCCGGGCGGCCGCCGACTCTCCCTTTCGGGTTCTGCTCTCTCCGCGCGCAGGAGCACCAGCATGTTCGACATGCGGTGCGAGGAGGAGGCCGCGGTGCAGCCGCACAGCAGGGCCCGCCAGGAGCAGCTGCAGCTGATCAACAGCCAGCTGAGAGAAGAGGACGACAAGTGGCAAGACGTGAGTCCCGGCCGAGGTCGCGCGGGCGGCGGGGAGGGCCCCTGGCGGGTGCACTTGGACTTGGGGGCGGGCGGGGAAGGGAATCCCCCGGGGGACGCGGGGACACACCATCCGTGTGGGACTCCCAGGATGGTAGCACGGCGAGGTGCGGAGCGGGGGCACAGACCGGGAACCCGCAGGCCCCTCCCCTCCCCGGCCAGAAGCTGGGCCTCAAAGGGGTGGGGGCGGACTTGAGGGAGCACTGTCTTCTGAGAGTGTGTGTTTGACACGGATGATGACGGTCACAACAATAATAACGGCCAGCATAAAAGTGTATCAGTACCCCGCCCTGTTCCAAGTGCTTCGCAGGCAATCATCGGTTAATCCTCTTAGTCACTCCGTAGGCTAGCAACTCTTACTGTCCTCGATTCCACAGGCGAGTCCTAGCACAGCTAAGTCATTTGCCCAACGTCACACAGCTAGCCAGTGGGGGAGCCGGGATTCGAACCAGGGAAGAAAGTCTGAAGAGGTCTCGAGAGGGCTTTGAGATTGTGCGCTGAGCCCCAAAGCAGGGGTGAGCTCAAGAGGGACGAGAGGAGGGAGCGTGGAATATGTCGCTGAATGCTCACAGAGCACTCTGGGGTAGCTGGGACCAACTTGATCTGCCATTAGTCAAAAGAGGAAGCGTCTCCAAAGTTGATAAAAGGTAGTAACAGCTGTGTCTACAGTATATTGAGCACTTACTGCCTGCCAGGCCCCCTACATTTAACTCTGCAAGCTTGTAAGAGTTTTAGAGATGAGAAAACGGAGATACAGAGAGACTAAGAAACACGTCTGAGCTTCCAAAGCGGGGACTGAGCTGGGATTATTCCCCACAGCTGCTGTCCCAACCATCCAACCCCAAAATCCTCTCTCTTCACTGGGATGCCATAACTACCTGTAGGATTTGTGGTAAGGTTGTAAGAATCAGATGAATGAATACATACAGAATCTGTAAGATTCCAAAACCAAATATTTTCTGCCTTTATTTTCTTCCATGTGGAAACTGTGTGAGTTAATCCCTACCGTTCTATTGCAAGCAAATCTGTTCATAGCCAGAGATCATAAACAGGAAGAAGTGATGTTCCTTACAATTACCTTGGGAGGCAATGCTCTAAAATTTGGCAACTGACATGAAATACGGTTGCCTGTTTCACACTGCCATATTTAAATAAGTGTGCTTGCCCTGCTATGGATAGTGTAGATCATGTGTGGCTGATTCTCGCCTTTAAGGCACTTCTGTTCCAACCAGACTTACAGTGGATTGTGTGGAAATGCCCTTGTACGATACCTGGGCCCCTGGCCAGTGCTCACTACACCCGAAGAGGAATCTTGTATCTCTCTGCCTTCCCCCCACCCCATCCCCCAGGACCTGGCTCGTTGGAAGAGTCGTAGAAGAAGTGCTTCTCAGGACTTAATCAAGAAAGAGGAAGAGAGGAAAAAAATGGAGAAGTTACTGGCTGGCGAGGATGGGGCACGTGAACGCAGGAAAAGCATCAAAACTTACAGAGAAATTGTTCAAGAAAAGTGAGTGTTTTCTGCCATTGTTTGTTAATGTACACTACACTGTTTATCCAGATGTGCTTTTTCTACAAACTGTTGGTTATCACACAGGCTTTGACGTCAATATTGTACATTCCCTGTCCTGTCCCTTTCACCTCTGCCGTGGCTTCTGCGAGGTCCTCTTGGCAATTTTATGACTGTTGACTTTGTTATTGCTTTACCTTCCCATGCCCATTCTTTAGAGAGCGGAGAGAGAGGGAGTTGCATGAGGCATATAAGAACGCTCGGTCCCAGGAGGAGGCAGAAGGGATCCTCCAGCAATACATCGAGAGGTTCACCATCAGTGAGGCTGTGCTCGAGCGCTTGGAGATGCCAAAAATTCTGGAAAGAAGCCATTCAACAGAGCCAAACTTATCCTCCTTCCTGAACGACCCCAGCCCCATGAAGTACCTGCGGCAACAGTCACTGCCTCCACCCAAGTTCACTGCCACAGTGGAAACTACCATTGCTCGTGCCAGTGTTCCAGATACCAGCACGTCAGCAGGCAGTGGGTCTCCAAGCAAAACTGTCACTCCCAAAGCAGTGCCTATGCTGACACCCAAGCCTTACTCCCAGCCCAAGAACTCTCAAGAGGTTCTGAAGACCTTTAAGGTAAGACAAGTTCCCTCAGTAGAACCACAGCCTGGCCGGGCGTGGTGGCTCACGCCTATAATCCCAGCACGTTGGGAGGCCAAGGTGAGAGGATTGCCTGAGCTCACTGGTTCAAGAACAGCCTGGGCAACTTGGTGAGACCTCGTCTCTACAATAAATCAAAAAATTAGCCAGGCATAGTGGTGCGTGCCTATAGTTCCAGCTACTTGGAAGGCTGAGATGGAAGGATCACTTGAGCCCAACAGGTCAAGGCTGCGGTGGCTGTAAGCGTGCCATTGGACTCCAGCCTAGGCAGCAGAGTGAGACTCCAACTAAAAAAAAAAAAAAAAAAAAAAAAGACACAGCCAAACTCTGGGCAGTCCACTGAAAGAGGCATCCTGACTCAAGAAAATGCCACTGTTTTTACCAAACAAAAGCAACATGGGTTAACATTTGCGATTGTGAAGTGTATGTGTCTTGGGGGAAATTTGCTTTGTAAATACTCAAAGGATAGATGCTCCCCTCAACTACTGTTGTTAATCTTGCTGGACTCCAGTAAGATTCATAGTCATTTCATGGGCAAGGTCCATTTTCCAGTTTGTTGCAATGGCATGGTCTCTCTATAGCTGGCAACAAACCCTGATTTAGTAACACCCTAGTATTTCCAGATATCTGGAGGTATGACTAACTCCTCAGAACAAGATTTTAATTGCTTTTGGTTCAGATAGAAGGAGATGAAGTTCAAATGCACCTACCTCTTTTTCAGCAAGCAATTGACATCATAACCAAAAAGATGCTAATTTGAAAAAAAAATACAAAGAACACACAGGAACATGGGATGTATATTGTTCTCAGATGAGACAGGCTTTTTTTTAAGTAGAAAGACATTGGGTTGTTTTGCCAATGTATGTGTACAGTAATGTTCCAGACCAAAGAACTTATGGAAACCAAACAACATTTCACTTCCTCAGGTTCTGTTGTTTGCCCTCGAACCATTAGGAAGCACTCATCCTTTGTCTTAAGTTCTTTTGACATGAAGAAAAATCAGTTCTCATTGTCCCTGCACACCCCATGAGTCCCCAGTAGAAGACAGGTGGAATGCAGCACTGAGAGATGTGGCTGTTGAGTGTGCATAACTAAACTAATCCAGTGATGTGAGGCCACGCCTCTTCCTTATTGAATTTCAGAGGGAACCAGAGTGCATTTTCTGGTTTAGCTTAAATCATCCTGAATGTATCTTAGAAATCTGTGCCTTAGGCTTTGGTAGAATAAAAGAAAAAATGTCCCAGCTGTCTCATCTGGATTGAGTTGAGATGCTTATCCCCTTAAGGGCCAAGCCTGTGCCTTTGTCATTCATGGCTTCATTCTAGGGCCTAACATAGGTGCTGGGACAGAGCAGGCCCTCAGCAAGTACTTACTGAATAAAGAAGCAAACTTTCCCTGAGAAGATGAGCTACTACTTATGTGGACTCATGCATACACAGATACACACAAGCCTGCATATGCTCAGCGTCCACCCATGCATGTCAGAAGCTCTCCCCCAGGGCCCATGATGCTGAATGATCTGTGATAGATCACGAAGGGAGATATTATGCTGAGGTGGCCTGGAGCAGACACCGGGAGGATGTTTACTTAACTGGGTAGTCAAGGCATCTGCTCACACAATCTAGATATCCACTTCCCTTCCTTTATGTAAATAGTGCAAAGTGATTATTTAAGCAGAAGAATTAGACAAGGCACAGTGACTCATGCCTGTAATTCCAGCACTCTGGGAGGCTGAGATGGGAGGATCTCTTGAGCCCATGAGTTGGAGACTAGTTGGGGCAAGATAGTGAGACCTTGTCTCTAAAAATAAAAATAAATTAGGTGGGTGCATTGCTGTAGTCTCAACTACGCAGGAGGTTGAGACAGAAGGATCACCTGAACCCAGAAAGTTGAGACTGCAGTGAGCTGTGATCATGCCACTGCACTCCAGTCTGGGCAACAGAGTGAGATTCCAGCTCAGTCAATCAATTGATCAATTAATAATGGAAGAATGAGGATAGATGACTTTATGGCAAAACTTCAGCTCTGTGAAAACCCTGTCTTCATGGCGAGTGGCCTCAGGAAGTACATCTGAGGTGGCATGTATTGAGGAACTTGAGTAGAGGTCCCCACTCTTGACCACTCACTGGTGGATGTCCCCTCCACTCATCATAGTCCTTGATGGCTGTCAGCCTGTTGATAGTCTATAGCTCTATCCCTGAGTAGTAGGTAGCAGCTGTGGTCCAAAGTCCAAGGTAATATGTAACCAACTAACCCAGGCAGAAGGTAAGGGGTGTGTGTGTGTGTGTGTGTGAGAGAGAGAGAGAGAGAGAGCTTGTTGTGGGCAGAAAGGAAGGGAATATGGTCTCAGTTATGTTTTCAGTACAACAGAATTAACAGTAAAGGTAGCTCAAGTGAAATTGTTTAAATCAATTTTTTGAAATTTGTTTTTTTGGGGTTTTTTTTGTAGAGATGGGATCTCACTATGTTGTCCAGGCTGGTCTAAAACTCCTGACCTCAAGCCTCCCAAAGTGCTGGGATTACAGGCCTGAGCCATCACACCCAGCCTAAGGCAGTGTTTCAAATGCCCCCCCCCCCCCCAGGTTATAAAATCATTTCAGTAGTTCAAAGTCAGCATTTAAAAAAAATTTAGTGGAATAGAATGTAATTTTAAAAACAGCATAGTGCATCACACATAACAAAGGTAAATATTGTCTTGAAAACTTCTGTTTCAGTTATATTTATATGTATATGCTTTTTCTTTTTTATGGGTAACAGACAATAGAGTAAGAAAACCGGTGGCTTATGGTCAATAAACTATAGCTAATATCCGGCCTTCTCTTACTTCTTTTGAAGGGTTTTAGAAAGCCTAGTGATAATAATGGCTAATAGCTAAGTACTTACAATATGCCAGGTTCTATTCTAAACTCTGTGCCTATATTAATCCATAAAACCCCTCCTTACAGCACTGGGAGGGAGATACTGTCATTTTAAATGCTGTGTTTGAACACAGAGCATAAGGCATTTGGTTGAAGATTCCAGGGCTGCTAAGTGGTAGAGCCGGGTTTTGATCTTAAGTCATCCAACTGCACAGCTCCCTCCCTGACACTTCCACAGTCTGCCTCAGACTTCAAGACCGAGATTTCCAGATGTCTTTTAGTCAGCAGGCTAACCACCCTCCCTGACCCTTCTTCCCTGCTCTAACTGCCTTCCCTAAACATGAGTGCAAAACAAAAAATATATATTTTCAAGTGCATGGTCTTTTTTTTTCCTGGAAAAAAAATGGAGGTTGTAAAATTAACTAGGAATAGAGATTTATTGTCACATGGCATAGTATCAGGTCCCGTGGCCTTCATGATACTGCATGAAAAAATCATGCAGTGCCATCTCTATCACCTATAAAAGATAACCTATAAAATATTCCTGATATGAAGTAGACTCCACCTAATTTATAAACTAGCCAGGCAAAAAAGAAGTTAAAATGGTAGAACAGCAGTCAGAACTTAAATGAAAAGCTCCTGGAACCCAAAGATGTGGCATGTGTTTGTATTTAAGATTCCTTGGTTTCCTATACTTTAACGTAAAAGCACACCATAAATAAGGTGAGCATGCAGTGGAATCCAAAGTGGGGGAGCCCGGCAAATCCTGACTACCTTTCAAAGAGGCCCTCACAGATGGCATTTATAGAAGCCCTAACTCGGAGAACTGATCCAAACATTTGAGGGAACTTATTCTTTGCTGGACTGTGGTTATTAAGTGATTATCTGTTCAGGTAATGCCAGATGAGTTATTTTGTTATAGTTTTTGACTGGGGTATAACATGTTTTTTGATCATTTGGTCTTTTAGGTAGATGGGAAAGTCAGCATGAATGGAGAGACAGTTCACGGAGAGGACGAGGAGAAGGAAAGAGAGGGTTCCTCAGTGGCCTCCACCGCATCCTTAACCAAATCCCAGCTGTTTGAAGGCGTGGCCAGAGTGCATGGCTCTCCAGCGGAGCTGAAACAAGACAGCAACAGCATCGAGATCAACATCAAGAAGCCAAATCCTGGTCCCCAAGAACTGACAGTAAGAACCAAACTTTTTCTTCCCCTCTTTTTTGGGATAATTTCATAGTGAAAAAAATCTATTCTTTAAAAAAAGTAGGTCCTGATGACAATCATGTCTTCTATGCTGGTGTATTGCTTTGGCTAGGACTGCCATAACAAAGTCCCACAAAGTGCTTCAACTGCAGAAGCTCATTGTCTCACAGTCCTGGTGGCTGAAGTCCAAAGTCAAGGTGTTGGCAAGTGGATCCCTTCTGTTGGCTGTGAGGAAGACCCTGCTCCAGGCCTTCCTTCTACCTTCTAGTGATTGCTGGTCATCTTGACCTTCCCTGACTTGTAGACGCATTACCCAATCTCTGCATTCATCTTAACATGACGTTCTTCCTATGGCTATGTCTGTATTCAAATTTATCCTTTTTGTAAGAACACCAGTCACACTAAAATAGGGGTCCACCTTCTCCAGGATGACCTTATCTGAACTTACTACATCATAACCATCAAGATCACATTCTGAGTCCACAGGGGTTAGGACTTCAACATACGGATTTTGGGAGAGGCAATTCAACCCATAACAGCGGGATGCAATAGGACATAATATAATTTGTGAGCAGGAAGTTGCTTTTTCTTTCTTGAGAACAGGACCAGAAATTAAGAATAACTCCAAGGTGCATCTGTTTCACAGTACTTTGCAATGTTTAACCTTTCTTTACATAATAATTAATTAGATTTCCACAAAAGCTTTATGAGGTCATCAGGATGGATATTACTATCGCTATTATTTTTGTTTGATTTATGAGAAGACAAGAGATAGACTACATCTTTAACAGCAGTTAATAAATAGCTTTAACTATTATAGTTATAGTTAACTATTTATTATAGTAATAATATTCTAATGACTGATATTAATAACTGTGCATGTCACTGATAAATCTTATATTTTTGTTGATGACTATTTTCAGAAGAGTACAAATGACCAAATAATTAAAATAGATAAACAAGGGAAACTCAATATAAGAAAAATTCAGTAAAGCAGAGGAGGAAACCATAAAGAAGGCTAACGTAAAATTCTTGAAAGATCATAACTTCTTTTTTACTTTTCCAGAGCTAGTAAACTTGTCTTTGAATTCATATCAGATCCATAAAGTATATAACACAAATTATAAAAAAAAAATTACTTTTTCTTTTTTTTTTTGAGTTTGAGTCTCACTCTGTCACCCAGGCTGGAGTGCAGTGGCATGCTCTCAGCCACTGCAGCCTCGACCTGCTGTGCTCTGGCGATCCTTCTGCCTCAGCCTTCCAAGTAGCCAGAACTACAGGCACGCGCTATCACGCCCGGCTATTTTTTATTTATTGTAGAGACGAAGTCTCACCAAGTTGCCCAGGTGGGTCTCGAACCCATGGGCTCATGCAATCCACTCGCCTCGGCCTCCGAAAGTGCTGGGATTACAGGCCACCAAGCCTGGCCAGAAATTACTTTTTGTTGTCTCTACCTTATTAGTGTTCAGTGTTATGGAAGAATACATAAATACTTAAAATATCTTTTTTTCTGTTTATTCAGGATCTCATTAGATTTGTTAACACAATTTAGAAATAACTGGTGCCATTAGAATCTGGCTTAAAAGGGCCTTTCTCTTATTAGCTAAAAAAGAACGGGGACTGGGCATGGTGGCTCACACCTGTAATCCCAGCACTTTGGGAGGCCGAGGAGGGAGAATTTCTTGAACCTAGGAGTTTGAAACCAGGCTGGGCAACATAGTGAGACCTCATCTCCACAAAAAAAAATCAAAAAATTAGCCAGGTGTGGTGGTGCCCACCTGGAGTTCCATCAATTCTGGAGGCTGAGGTGGAAGGTTCGCCTGAGCTCAGGAGGTCAAGGCTGCAGTGAATGGTGATCGTGCCACTGTACTCAACTTGGGCCACAGAGTGGGACCCTGACTCAAAAAAAAAAAGGAAAGAGAGAAAGTTATTAAAAAATAAAATTAATTTTTATCAACTTAGCCCTTTAAATACAGAGCAATTTAAGACACTAAAGCACTATTGAATAGCCAAGCTAAAAAATGCAGGGAAATTCAAGTTCAGCAGAAAATGGAACTCAAAATAACACTGTACTTGCTGTCTTGGAATAGAAGAACATCATCGTGTCAATTTCATCTTCTTAGATCTCTCACCAGAAAGTCTCCTGCAGATTTTGCTAACCAAACCAAAAAGTTCACTCCCAAGGATGTAGCCCCTTTTGGGGGCATAGACTAGACTCTGTTCACCCTCATTTGTCCTCACCAGAGACTGAGTCTCTGCTTTTTCCTCGGCACCTAGACCATTTTGGCGCAGAAGGAAACTTGTCTTCCTGCTCCCCGGCTGAGCTTTAGATGACCCAGCTTGCTAAAACCCACACCGCAGCCTAAGTATTGATTTTTTCCCCCCTCAGGGTTTTGTCTTTCGAAGAGTAAAATAATGTTTTCTCAGAGGAATAGAGAGGATATAATTCTTCGCTCAGTGCTCAAGCGCTCTAGGAACGAGATCTAAAGGAGAGTAGACCAAAGCCATTGCTTCACCGTGGTGACATTTCCTGGTCTCCAGGAGCAAACTTTTGTGAACGAAACAAATGTGGAGTCTCTCAGCCTGGACTTTAATTTTCCTTTTCCTTCACCTCCATGTTACCATTCTGGAGTTCTTACGGGTAATCGTGAGATGGAGTGTGATTTCTGCTAGCCGTGTGGGAACTTAACTGGTGGAGTAAACGTGAACTTCTGCTCTTAAGTTTAAAATAGAAGCCCCCCGAATTAATCAGACAATATAGGGGTGAAATTGCTTCTCTGGGGAAGCTAGTAATTCTGTTCTTCTCTTTTGCTACACTTCATGAGAGTGTTTTTTAAATTCCCTTCATAAGAGTTTACACTGAATACATATTTCTAGAAGTATCTTGTTTTTTGGGATTTTTTTAGTTGGAGTCTCAATCTGTCACCCAGACTGGAGTGCAGTGGCACGGTCATGGCCACCACAACCTCAACCTGCTGGGCTCAGGTGATCCTTCTGTCTCAGCCTTCCAAGTAGCTGGAACTACAGGCATGCTCTACCACACCTGGCTAATTATTTATTTATTTATTATAGAGACAAGGTCTTGCCAAGTTGCCCAGGCTGGTTTCGAACCCCTAGGCTCAGGTAATCCTCTCACCTCAGCCTCCCAAAGTGCTGGGATTACAGGCCTGAGCCATCGTGCCCAGCAAAGTATCTTGTTTTAAGAGAAGCAAAATTGCATGATCTAAAAGAAATTATGTCATTTCAGAAGTCTAGACACTATCACAATGACACAAACAAAAGCTGGCGTGGGGAACTTTCTTTCTGGAAACCTGCCCTGATTCTGGGCAGCCTCAGGACACAGGTCCAAGCTCATGCAGACACCTGGTAGTTCTTCCTTTCGTGCATTTCTTCCTTGGAGAAGTTGCTTAGTTCAGAGTCATTTCCAGTTAAATAAAACCCCTTGGTTCTGAATAGGTAGTGGCATTTCTGTATCCTGTCTATAGTACCATAGGCTCTGGAATCAACCATGGCAGGGGCTACGGCATTATTTTCTGGGTAGGTAATTTGGTGTGTGTCTCTCCAACTGTAAGCAGAGCTGCTTGCAGTATTGCATGGAACTTTGGCTCATTACTGAAACTCTCTTCATACTCACTTGCAACTTACAACACCACAATTTTTCCATTCAGAGTGTGTTATCCCAGGAGTCACTTTAAAAGAATCACTTCTCCAGGAGACCTACTCCTCATTTTACTTCTGTCTGCATGATTCCAAGAAAAGCATTTCTTGACTGTTTAACAGCCAGTAGACTCCTACTTAAAAAGTGGAATTAATTGGTCATGGCAAAATATGATGGCCAGCTTGAGAGGGGAGCTTTCCAGAGATAGATACCAGCTTGGACTTTCTGTTTCTAATTCATTTACCTGATCCTGTGGGGCTGTCAAAGGAATAGTGTTCTTCTCTTTAAATAGTGTCTTTCTTCCAAAAACTGCATTCCCCAAAGATACACTCTCTACAGAGGAGTAGCTTCACCCACCACTAAAATGTCACAATTCCTTTTAGGCAAGCTGGAACTGTTCAAAGGCCACAGCAGCAGCAGTGGGCAGGAGCATTTATTCAGGATGTGTGAGGCAGCACAGCAGAGCAGGGTGGCCGTGGGACCCCAGGGGACGGGCATGAGTGTGGTATGTCAGCCTCCAGAGCTGGCATGGACACTTTGGTATGATGTCATGCCATCTCCTTAGTTTCCTTCCGCCTCATCTTTCTTATTTGAAACTCTTGGGACCTTTGCTTTCTACTTTAGAAATAGATCCTAAATTAAGGTAGAATTTTTTTTTAAATGCTTGGACTGCGCCTCCTGATATTAGCAAGTTCCCAATCCTTCTCAATCGAATTACCTCTACAGTAATGCAATTGTGACAGCAATTACCTTGTGGGGGGGGGTGTCTGTTAACGGATTAAGTGTAAATTGAGGAACTACTCTATGACCTGGTGTTTTTTGAAGTAGAAGAAGAAACTAATAAACTTGCCAGGAAAAAAAGATGTTCATAAAGCTGCTAGCAAAGTATGTAACACAACATATAATTAAATACAGATGATCCTCGACTTGTCTTGGTTTGACTTACAATTTTTCAAATTTACGATGGTGAGAAAGCAATATGTGTTAGTAGAAACCGTACTTCAGATTTTGAATTTTGATCTTTCCCTAGGCTAGTGACATGTGGTAGGACACTGTTAGGTTGGTGGACTGAGCCAGTGTTGTGGGCATGCAAACAATTGCACAGGAATTAGATTGGAACAAATGGTTTATTCAGGAAGTAGATCAGAGAGAGAGGGGATGGATCCACCTCTCTAAGACTGGAGAGGGGACCAGACGCTTAAAGAAAGCGTGACCACGAATGCTTGAGGTTGGAAACTATTAAAGCTTCCCTTTTGGTTTGGGGGAAAGGGCTGGCAAGCATTCACAGGAGCTGACGTCATGACAACGGGGTCTGTTTCTTGTATCTC